CTCTTTGACGAGTTGTAATATGGTGCTACGAATGGTAAAACTCACTGACGATGCCGATTACGATGCCGGCAAAACGTCTGAGAATGTACTACGTCAACGGTCCGATTTTGGAAATGATCATGCACACTATGGACTCAGAACTAGGTGCATTCCTCTAAGTCTTCCTATCAACGGGAAATGATCATGCATACAATGGACTCCGGACTAGGTGCGTTCCTCTAAGTCTTCCTACCAATTTGACCATGTTGCCAAGGTCAAACAACTTCTATACAACGAAAGGAGACTGCGACCACACAAAAGGCCACACCATCTTGGTCTTAATACCTTCGATTAAATCAAGAATGTTGTGAAGACTTTCATTTCGTATCAAAGTGAATAATGAAGAAATTTGTTGGTCGATCTCGCCAGAAGACGACGGCAGATTACCGTTGTAAAGCAGATGTTTGGCTTTGATACATTCTTAGCTCAAGAGATTCTCCGAAATCCACGTTTTATCATAAAGTAAAATATTTTATATATGAAGGCCAAGATGTTGTGGCCTCTGTTTTGGTCGCGGCCTGCTTTCGCTGTTTGGAAATGGTTTGACCTTGTTTTCGTAACTTAGTCTTGTTGTCAGGGCGACCTAGTTAATCGCACCTTGCTTGATATCTCCTACTATAATAGCTACGATAATTCCTAGCCTCAGGCTGTACCAAGTCCAAGATCCGAAGCTGGTAATTATCCTAATTACTATAGCAGATGACATCGGACAAGGTGCTTTAAATGAGGTCGTCCTGGCAACACGACCAAGTTATGAAAGCGAAGACAGTAAAATAACTTGTCTTTATAGCTGCCATTCACTTAGGAGGGTGGTATGAAAAAACTTCGTAAATTGGTAGTGCAGGAAAATGAATAATGATGGGAGGTGTATTCACCCTAGTTCGTTTTGGGTGATAAGAGATTGGTCGTTGAATTTCCAGTAGAGCTGACGTTTCCATTGAATTTTACTTAGCCTTGCTTTCGAAAAGAGTATTATCATCCGGGGAAGACTGCAGTTTCGACCTCGCCTAGATCATATCAACACCCCCCATGGGACTCGAACCATGACTCTTTAGTGTATTATCTCGTCACGTCAACCACTACGCAACATTGATACGAGTGCCCTTGAGTGACAAGGCAGATGTGAATTTCACGGAAGGCCAAGCATTTTCCAGTATCACATTCTGTGATGGAATTGTCGATGAAGCAAACTTATATTTGCTATTACAATCGACGACAATGCCTATTTTTTGTTTCGAGTAGGATTTCTAAGCAAATAGTAAATCATGTATATGAGCTGTTGACCACACGAAAGGCCTCGCCATATTGGTCCTCATGCCTTCAGTAAACGGAATAGAGTTCTTATTTAAAATTATTTTTAGTCTTTTCAGCTCCTGAACCAGGGAGTGGTTATAGTATTATTAATATACAATACAATATATTACTTAATGTAATATTATATCATAATATATTATATTCAATATAAAGATGATGATATACTACTGGGTAAATACGTCGTATGTAATACGTGAACTGTAGTTGTGATGAGACTGAAAATTTGGGATTTTTATAAGTGAGTAAGTAGGTTTTCGAGACTACCAGTAAATCAGATATATGAGTTGTGTTCATCCTATTTCGTTTAAGATGATGAAGGACTGGTGGTTGATTTTTCCCACAATGATATAAGTATAGCTGACGTTTTCATTGCATTTCACATTACCTTGCTTTCCCAAAAGGTAACAATGGGTAAAGAGAAACGAATACTTTCATCGTCCGTACCAGCATTTCGATAATTTTCTGACCCTCTTTCTAGATCAAGCCGTCACTAGTTTCTGTGCTCGTGGTTTGTCTCTCTTGGCTTAGTATATTTTTCTCGCTATTTCGTAATGTATGGATTCTTGCTCTGGCGATGTATGCCACAGCACAAACGAAAGTTTAGCACAGTCAAACAGTCAGAATTGACTAAGCACAGAGCGGAGACTGGGCATTAGGTCTCATACGTAGAGATTTACTGATTATGGTATGTCTGCAACGAAACGTAAGATAACGCAAGAGAAGAGAGGCTTTTGAAATTAATAGATTAGGGAACACGTTGAATGTGAGGAATGGTGGCACAAAGTTGAATAATAATTACTTTTACTTTATTGGAAAATTGAAGGAGAAAGAGAGAGTTTAACCGCCGATCACAAGAAGACGACTCATCTTGTCAAATGAGTGATGGTTCTAGTCAAATTCACATTCGTCTAACAGGCATGACAAGCTCATCAACCAAAACTGACGTGAGAGTACGCAATCCCAGCCATGCTTCTCCTTGGGTCATTAAACCTCAATGACGCCAGACTAATAGGTTCGGACTGGTTGTTTTGCAACCTGACTTTCACAGATATAGGCTCTCATCTCATCAATTCGACCATAGTTACATACAAACTAATACAATCTCGATCATGCTTTTTTCCTTGGGTCAGTAAGCCTTGATGACCCGGGGTTGACATCAGCCTTTTTTCTTATTACTTTGACCTATGGCCGGTTTTGCCTACATTCCTTAACTGACATACACAGGCACAGACACACTCGAGTATAAGAAAATTAACTAAGTCTGTCGGAAATTTTTTAAAGTTATGCGTATATTTATCAAGTAGAAAAGAGCCAGTCAGTCTGTTTGACCTAGTGTTACCTGGCGACCTTTGCAAGAATCATTCTCGGCTCTAAGGATGTTCGTCGCCCGTTTTCGCCCAAAATGAGGGAGGATGTCTCGTGGACTAAGCCAACCTGAATGTCGTCTTAAAGCCAGACGACTGCAGTGCAACGGGGATCAGCTGTCGTCTTCCGGTAAGCTCAACCCATGAATCTCTTCTTAATGCACTTTTATACAAAATAAAAGTCTCCCCAACAATGTTATTACATGAGATTAATCGAAAACCAGCAACTCTTCGTATCCCTATGCATTGTGTTTATGTGAGGGTAGCAAGGCTACGTGGACTGCAATAGCCTAATCCTTTCAATGTAGGAAAATTAACCAATACTTCCTTAAATCAGCCAAAGGGATTTAGGATGTTTATCCATGAATTACCGATACTCTTGAAAACTACTTCCATCAAATATAAGTAGCATCGTCTATTTAAATGACAAATAGATGTTTTTTTTTATTCGACATTCCCCTCATAAATATGTTTTAAGGGGGAACCAGTTCATTTTTGAATGCCATATATTTACGTTGTTACCCTCTGGCACTCGTGACTATGTAGTGGAGAGGTCACGCTGCCAGGCTATTCACAACCCGATACCGAACCCCGCTAATGGTGCTGATGAGACCTGCACGAGGACGAAAATGCCGTTCCGCCCGTATTAGAAGGCCTTCGCGGAAGCAAGGCCAAATGGAATGAAATGGCATCGTGAGGCATACACGTCTAATTGTGAAAAACTTAACTGTCAGTCTTTAAATCACCTTAGGCGGTCTAGGATGATTGTTTATTAATTACTTATTAGTCTTTAAAACTACCAATGTCAAAATTAGACAATTGCAGGCTCAGATAAATTAATGCACTGTTAGTGAATGTCTAGAAGTCTGTCACGCCTCGGTATTTTCGTCTTCCAACCCATTAAGACGGGAAAATGTTCTTATTTTGGCGTGTTCAGAATCTATCAAATGATTTTGATGACCAAAGAATTGGCTAAGTAACGACACCAAGTAGGATGTTTTGTACCATTTATGAAATGTGTCTGGCTGACTCCTATCCAATCTGTCATCACCAGTGAGGGTTACTTAGAGTTAGGTGTAAACATCAACTGCTGGGTGTCTCCATCTATCGTCGCGAGACATAAAGCATAAAGCATGGCTGGATTCTCAGAACGGGAATTTTAGTGACGCCTCTGAAAGCAGCCCTGCCAACAATTTGAAAGCTGCTGTTTATTTCTAGCCTCGTATTGCTGCTTTCGTTGTGCATGAAGCGTACTCTATGAATTTGCATACGCTGCAAAGATGCAAATATGCAGTGACACATCAGGGCTAAACTTGAGTAACCATGCCATGTATGTTCGGAATATGGATAGCATTTTTTAACTCCACTCTACGACTGAAGCTGTTTTCACTTTAGAGTGAAAAGGCAAAATAGCGTTTAGTACAGACCTAATGGTGATTGTGCTTTTCTGACGGCCCGACGAGGGCTGCTGTAAGAGGATCTTCTGCCCCGGCGTGTGTGGGTCGATCACGAGAATAACTGTACTACCGTCCATCCCTATGACTGGGGTGCTATTTTGTCTATAGACCTGGAGCAACAAATGAGTTATCCCCTATCAGTCGCTGTACATAAAGAATGTACAGACTGACGATTGAGACCAATTCTGGCTCAAAGTATCTGTAGTGTATTTGCGGAATGTGCAGCTTCGAGGGCTAAACCAGCCAGAAGGGTCATGGCTCAAATCCAGATCGGACTCATCTTCATGTTGCTCTTGACTATGAGTTTATTTTGGACTCAGAAGGAGACGAACTCCATGCGAATATCCCCCGGTTTTCACTTGAAAAGAAATCCTTTACAATGCGTTTATCATTTATCATTCATCATCCAGGAGTTGAGAAATACACAAGTATGCATTCACATTCCCATATTCCCACAAACATATAAACACACACACATATATTTCTATTTATATGGCTGCCTCAATTTCTGCGAGTTTCCTCACCTTTCAGTTGGAAATCATTATTGCGAATTAATTAAATTATAGTCATTTTTCCGCCAAATATGAGGCGATTGAAGAATCAAAGAATCCGGTGTCGCAGGGTCCATTCAATTTGCCACCCACCACGTCATCCATCACTCGGCCTTTCTGGGCGGTAACCTGAGCGCGAGAAGGGAGATGGAGAACAGGGCCGGACAAAAAGCTTCCCCGTATTTCGCCCCTTCAGACCAGCTATACACACTGGGTTTCTATACAGTGTGAAAAAGGAGCCAACATTTAGCAAAATCTGGGACACATCAAGTGGCGTCGATTTCCTGTTTCTCACGTGCCTGGCTCCTCTTCGCCGTATTCCTCATTATGCTCTTCTTCAGCTGCAATTTTTCTATTTTCACATTCTCGCTCTAAAGATTGTGCTTGTCTTGCGCATTAATTTGTAAAAATTATTAATTATTCATGCATTTCGAATAAAATCAACCACCAGAGCCTTTTTACTCCGACCCAGGCTGTGGACCGGTTTCTGTCAGCGTGTCTGCTAGTCGTCACACGGACGACTGACTGTTGGCATTCTGTCTATCCCTACAACTCAGCCTATCCACCTACTTCCGACCAACCTCCTCCGCCTGCTTCTGGTCAGGCCGATTCCGTCTGCCAACGGCGGCAGGATTTGCCTATGTGAATCGTGCTTTTTTCTCCATTTATCTTTCCTTCCACCTAGCCATTGATCATAGCCGTATCTTTCGCCTTATCGGCCACTGTGAACGACCCCCCAGACGATGTAGCTGGCAAACACGCAAGCACAAGCGCAACAACATTCACGCAAATTCATACCCTGTCCAGCTGGCCGGCTTCCCCAAGAGCACAGGCACACGTGTACATGCATCCAAGGCGGACAAACAAGGATGTGCACACACCTGAGCGCATTCATGAATGTAGACATGAATAGTCATGTGAACATAAACACTGGCGTGAATGTAGTCATGTCCATATACCTCGGAAGCGTGTATTGCATGAAAAGGGTTTAGCAAAAGAGGAGTTGGCCCGACTGGGGGTACAGTGTGCCCTAGGGAGATCTGCTAACCTCTTATGTGTTCGTAAATTGGAAAAGATAACAATAAGTAAAGAGTGGATATCTGGACGGTGGGTGAAAGTAGCATTGCTCTTGGGCAGACGTCACCAAAAATGAATTTCGAGCGTCAATGAAATGAACAACTTTCGAAGACTAGGATCAGACAAGGCAGCGCAACCTGAGGGGATCGACACCGGACCGTCTTTTAGTCCAAATATTGAAGGGATGATGAAGTGATGTGAGGATATTCAAGAAGAGACGAATGTATATATAAAAACAAACTGGATGGTGCCTCAAGAGAACCTCTGGATACGCGGACTGCTACAAATCTCTACCGTCGATTAGTCGAGTAGGGAAGGAGGTGCAAATGTGGTGTTGTTCCGGTTACTAATATTGACCCTTTGGTGGTAATA